GAAATAAATTGGACCTGCTTGTAGTAGACTTGAAGGATAGTGAACCTTTAAAAAAGTAAGTATGCTAGATACACTTTAATGTCATAAAATGTTACCTGTTGAGCATAAACAAAGCTGTAATGTCCTACAATAATCAACATAGGAAGTGGCCTTGTTAGTAGAGTATTATAATTGTTTGCCGCATCAGTATACAAGTATACAGCCCTTTTAACAATAATTGTGCCTCTTTTAATACATCCTTATAGTACTCCCTTTCCTTTTTAACAAGACTTCTGTGATCTGGTGCCTTTTGCATTGCCTGAAAATGCTAAATATAATACTTGTGTTATGACAGTACTAACTTACCTCATTTTCTTTTCATTTGATTGCATGTTGGCACTTCTTATAATCAGTCCACATATCTCTTTTCAATTGCACACAAGTCAGACATACCCAGCAAAAAATCTTACGTAAGATCTTGTTTAAGATCTTGTAAAAAACTTGCTAAGATCTTTTCTTGATGATCAGGCATGATCTTATCAGATTATTGGACAAGAAGTTCCAAAATCGAGCATAATCAGGTCTTATTTTATGCAAGATCATGTCAGATCTTATATGTCTTTCTTGCATGACTTCGCATGATCTGACTTCAATAACAAGTTGGATAATGCATGATCTGTTTTCCCTATCTTATTAGAATTTGCATGATCTGATCATGTTATCTGTCAAGATATTGCATAATCTGACATTACCCAATCTGGCAATATATTGCATAATCTGACATAACCCAATCTGGCAAGATATTATTTGATCTGATCTGGAATACATTATCAAAAAATAATCAAAAATTATGTACTTTTTAAATCTAAAGTTTATTAATCCTAAATTGTTTCGTTTTTTTCTCTTTTAATAAATCTTGCCTTGTCCAAACATTTTTGTGTCCAAACATTTTTGTGTGCATATCCTCTTTATGATTCCAGCATTTTCCACAAACGTATTGTTGCCAAATACTTCCTTGACACATTCTATTGTAATAATTAAATATATTTAATCATTATAATTGACAAATAATTACCTTCTAATTTTAGAATTTTGGCAGGGTCCAGCCCTGGTTTGTCTGTTCTCGATGAACCACTGTAGCATGAAGTGGACATTTCTTGATCCCAGAACAATACATCCATTAGTTGTAAGGCGTATTTGGCTGGGTTCACAGCTCTTATTGTTAATAAATTAATGACGTTTTCCTTTCTAAAAATTGATGTAAAATAATATTTTCTATTACATACAGTAAAATATTTTGAGTCCTCCTCTTTAATGGAACTTGATTAGTGCTTGAGCTAGAAAACTTTAAAAAGTAAAAATAATAAAATGAAATCAATTACTCACAGAATTAGTGTATCCAATTTCTTTCAATTTAATTGAGTTGCTCCTATTTGAAGCAATAAAATATATAACTCAGTATTAAATTGCATGCATATGTATGATGTTAATGTATGTGTCGAAATTTTTATACGTTTAGTGTTACATTTGCCCTTATATTCTGCCGTGGTGTACTAAAACTTGTAAAAGGTACATTGAATGACCCAACATCCTGCCAGAATTAATAAATTGAAATCTAAATTAAATTGTTTACCTTTGAGTGTTGTGGAGTACTGAATGTATTACTTAAATCAGGCTCATCATTCTGTAATACAAATAGCAAAATAAATGACATGCATGCATAATAATAGCTAACATTGTCATCATTGAGTAAATCCTCTTCATCATTGTTCATTAAATCTGTAAATCTAATTTAATGAAAAATGAACCCTTGAAATTTAATACCTTCTTTGTCATCATCAATATCATAGAAATCTATGTAAATTAAGTGTTCATAATTATGTTAATTTTTAGAAATTACAAAACCTTGTCTAGCTTTTTTCCATCTTGGGCACCCATCTTCACTTTCATAAGATATAACTACATGGGTCATAAATTTGTGAAACACCAGAAAAAGAATCAATTAAGGTTGTCTACCTTTTTCACCTTTTCATTATCATCATCATCATTCTCTTTATCATCTGGCATAACTTTCGATGGTTTTGTTCCTAAGTAAAATTGTAATTTAGTTAAGTGCATTGATTGTACACTCACCATGTGTCTCTAAAATAGTAATTTTGTAGGGTTTGCCTCGACACTTCCATATAGCTGTGTTTTCAAAGTACAAGTCACTCATTGTTACATGTTGGCCACATTCTTTTGCTAAAAATTTCGACGAAGCTATATATTCTTTTCTACTCTTACTAGTTTCAATTTTGAACTGTACACCACACTATTTAAAAAAATTAAAGTATGTCAATCATGTTCTATTGCCATTAATTCTGTTTGGATCATTAGGGTGTAATGCATGTACATGTACATTAGTATAATTATGTCTATATAGTAGTAGCTAGTACAGCTATATGTAGTGTAATTAAGTGTGTACTCTACATACATGTACATAATAATTAAAAGTAATAACAAATAGC